TGGGGAGGGGGTGGCGAGCAGTAACCGCCCACAGAAGCCAGCGGCAGTGGCCAATCTTGGCAGTGGCCAACATGCTCCCCCTGAGCCCCCACCCTCACATGTCGCTTATGATTTGACTTCAATTTGTTTTGTTTTTTTCTCTTCCTCCCATGTACCAGAGATTGGCCATAGAGATGGGAGACTAGATGCTCCAAGAGAAACTGAGAAAACTCTCAGTGCCTGGCTCTGGTGTCTCCATCATATGCACAGCATTAAAATGGTCATCAGAGATGAGGCCAGGAAATAATTTTCCCCAGGTCAGACTATTGTTTGTTTTGTTTTGCTTTTTAAGTTTTGGTTTGTAGTATTAGGTATGCTGAGTGGAGTGTTTGCTCTCACCTTGTGGCACATTGATGTCTTGGACACACTGGAATTGTTTGTAGTAAATATCTTGTTTGTAATAAAGATTAGTTTGAAGGGTATTAGTAGGGTCTTTGTTGGTGGGAGGGGCCAGAGGTTCTTGAGGACTCTTGTGTGTATAATGCCTCTTATGGCTTTGTTGTACAGTAATTTTGGGTGGCTCCTGGACCTCTTAATCCCTGGATTAGCCACACATTGACACCTTAAAGTGGTTTTAAACCCTCATTATGTGGCTCAAAGTTACATCACTCCAGAGAACAATAGTCTCTGATTTGCAATACCCAGCTCCTGTTTCACTAAGGTGTGGCCACTCCCCATAGAAGTTCTGCCCAAACTGAAGTCCTCCAGTGTCCTGGGATCTCTTATGCCCTGTCCAGAGGGCTGGTGAACCAAGATAGGCTTTTATCCCTGCTCTCTAGTGGTAACTCACAACTATAGCTCATAGCCCTGCCCGTGGTCATCAAGCCTCTAGTGGCAAGTCACAGCTGTGCAGGTGGGGGACAGTTAAAGAAGGTTTCTACATTAAAGTTGTGACTGCTTCAAGCTCCAAGCTAGCACTAACACCAGTTGACACTTGTGCGGCTCACAGCATAAAGTATAATAAGGCCTTTATATTGTTGCTTGCAGTTGCAGGGAACTGAACTCAAAGATCCATGCTCCTTCTGGTCTTATATCCCTGTGGGCACTTTGGCTAGGGACGGGTGTTCAAAAAGCCAGAGCCTGAGTTCGTTCAATCTTTGCAGGTTAGTCTAGCCTGCAGAGAGTGAATCAGTTTCCAAGTGGATACATTTTCCCTTTCTATTCAGGAAATTCAGGCACATGCCTTCAGTGGCTCAAGCCAGAAGCCTGGGTGTGCTAGAGCAGCCCTCCCTTCCACAGGGAAGCTGAGCTGAGGAGTGGGGTGTGACCAGGCTCCAGCAGGAGCAGTCCAGGCATACAGGGCTGCCCTGCCAGAGGGGGGAACTCTTCCCCCTCCTCCCTCACCATTTGGTGCTGGGGACCTCTTCTCCCTCCTCCACCCCCCTGTCCTCCCCCTACTGTGGACAGGGGGCATCTGTGAGGCTTCTTCCCCATCACTGTAGGGTGGGGAGGGGGGGGGCTCTATGGGATGCAGCCCAGCCCCAGAGGGGAACTCTTTTCCCCCCGAGGGATAGTGGGAGCATGGAGCTCAGCTGGGCAGGGTAGGGGGTGTAGGGACCCCCATACATTCCCCCTATGGTGTGCAGCCCCCACTGCCCGGCAGCAGCAGGCAGGCAGGTCAGGGCACTTGTCCCCAGTGCAGGAATGGCTCTGGCCAGCACTGCGTGGGAGTGGGGAGTGGAGCCTGCCACATTGCTGGAGCTCTGCTCCCCACACCTGCAGCTCCAGCACTTGCAGTGAGGGAAGGCCCACATTGGAGCCTACTGCCTTCTCTCGCTGCATGTCATAGGGGGAGGGTGTGGGGGTCCCTACACTCCCCACCCTCACAACCACACCCTGCCCAACTGAGCTCTGTGCTCCTGATGCCTCTGTGGGGAGGAGGAAGGCGAAGAGTTGCCCCCTGCATGGAACAGAGCCTCCCCTGCCCCCACTCTGGGGCCTGGCAGCATCACATGGAGCCCTCCCACTTCCAGCCCCACAGCGGTGGGGGGAAGGGAAGGAGGAGAAAGGATCCCCATCCAGTGCCTCACAGAGTTCCCCTTTTCACACTGGGAGGAGGAGGGGAAGAGTCCCTGCCCCCCCCATCCCCATCCTGTGGGACAACCAACTCAGCATGGCCCTATTTAAGGTGAAGGGGGCAGGGAGAAAGCTAATTCTTCCCTTTGTCTCTTCTTTGCAGCCAGGGTATGCCAGCTCTAGGGGCCACTGCTGCAGCCCCCTCCCTTGTTCTCCCTAGCAGACAGGCTGACCTTGGATGCAGTGCAGGAAGGAGGGAAGAATTCACCCCCTCTCTACCCACTTTGCCTTAATGGAGCCATGCCTGCCAGTGTCTCTGCTAGGTCTGGTCACTGCTCGGACTAGAGAGCAGAGGGGCCCCGCCCAGCCCAGAGGGTGTGCTGGGATACTGGGGCAGACTGGATTAACTTAAACCAGCAAGTAGTCTGGGACAGACATTACATAAACCAGTTTGACCCAAAGCAGTTAAATCTGGTTGAATGTAGCATCAGACTGATCTCAAACCAGTTTGAAACTGGTTTTTGTGCACTGAACTTCTGTTCTGTTACAGGTTTAAACCAGTTTCTGGTCACTTAAATCAATTTATGTGTAATGTCTGTCCCTAGCCTTTTACACATCTTTCAAGGGTGGGGGGAGAGGGTGGCGCTTTAATTAGAGTGACTCTCAGAGTTGCTCTAATTAAAGCAACACCACGTCTCGTGTGTCAATGGCCCAATGCTTAAAAATGGTGGTGGGAATGCTTGAACTAAAGCTTGTTTGACAAGCTTTAGTTTAAGCACCCCCGCTGCCATTTTAAGCATGGGGATGCTGATACACGAGATACAAGAGGCTGCTGTAGAGTAATAATTGCCATGCTCTAGCAGACTTGATTAATCGGGTCTGCTCATGTATAGGCACCCTGTGTTCTTATATTCCTGGCTAAATTTGAAATTGGCTCTTAGTAAGCCACTTTGTAAGGACCCTGTGAATAGAAAAAAATTACAAGGGGAAAAAAAAGAGGTTTGGGATAAAATAAATCCTTTCAGGTGTTTTTGTTTGTTTTGGGGTTTTTTTGTGAAATTCTTTAAGCACATCTTTAAAATAAAATGAAAGTAAATTTCAAACCAAAATATTTTCAGAACAAAAAATAACATGAAATGGGGTTTTTTTGGTTTTGTTTTAAATATTTAAATTAACTCCTATCTTGAGCTATTTTTAACTGAAAAATTCATGTAAATTGATATGAATGCACAGAATGTTTACCTAACCTGTGTCTACATTTTTAGTGGGGGGAAAAAATTGGTCAGAAAATGTCACACCTTTTTGTTTAATACACTGATTTGTTTTCTGGGCTTTATCAAATCGAGTAAGATGCATATTTCTCTCTCACAAACACAAGTTGTATTATAATTTGTTTAATAGACTGTAGGATCCAGGTCGCCATTGTCATTATTCTAGTTAATCCATTTTTTACCAGACATCTTTTTTTAATGAATTACAGCTTTCTTTTGAGATGGAGATACTACTACTTAAGAATAAAATTTGGAAATACCCACAGTAATTGTTATGCTGGAAAACTTCAGCCTAAAAATTGCTGTTGTGGCTTGTAGATGATGACTTCATTGGAAAACAAGATAATTATAACTCCCTGTTTTTAGTTTAGACAAGTGGATCAAGTCAGATACTTGGTGCATTTGTTACAACCAGATGCCCTTTTATCAAAAAAATATTGTCATCTTGATCATTGTTTAATAATGTGAAGGCAGGAATCAGTTTTATTTCCAGATAGGTACCATGTTGCAGGCTTTAAGATGGCCAAGATAGCTATGATCCTCGCTTGTAATACTGTACCCTAGTTTCAATCTAGTGGGTGGATGGATGGATGTGCATTTGAGATGCTAGGTATGAGTGAATTTATATTTTAGAGCAATGGTATCAGTGCAGAACTTTCCACTGACTTTAAAAGACTTTGGATAAGACCCTGCATCTACACACACATTAATGCGCTTTAGTTAATGAACATTAAATTTAGTACCTCTGGGCATTTTTACGTGTGGTCCAGGTGTGGTGCTTTAATTAGAGCGGCTCTGAGAGCTGCTCTAATTAAAGCACCTCTTTGTCTCCCGTATCAGCATCCCTACGCTTTAAAATGGTGGTAGGAGCACTTGAACTAAAGCTCATTTGACAAGCACTGCTATTTTTAAGCGCAGAGACGTTGATAGACAAGATACAGAAGGTTGCGGGTGTGAGGCAATTGCTACACTTCAGCAGATTTGATTAATTGAGTCTGCTCTGACGTGCTGGAATTCTAGTGCATCGGAGCAGCCTCCATGCTCGTGTATAGGTGACCTCTGTTGAGAGGTACTGGGAAAATGCATATTAGTCTTTGGTTAATGCGGATTAAGATAGAGTAGGAGTATTTATAGATGCGCGCTGCAGGGGAAGGGGGGGCACACTTTAATTAGTGTGGCTCTGAGAGTCATGCTAATTCAAGTAACCAGAGTGTCATGTGTATCAGTGTCCCTGCGCTGAAAAATGGCAGCAGGGGGCACTTTAATTAAAGTTTATTGAACAAAAGCTTTTCAGCATAGGTATGCTGATATATGTGACGTTGGAGCATGGTAATTATCAAGCTCCACCAGATTCAACTGAGTCTGCTCCAACACACTGTAATTACGGCACATTGGAGCAGCCTCCTTATATGTGTATAGGAGCCCATGGCTTTTAGTGGCACTTTAATGTGCATTAACCTATTTTAATATGCATTAGTGAAAGTGCATGGGGTTTTTTTTAGTGATGCTTTAATGCACTTTAAAATAAGCTAATGCACATTAAAGCACATGTGTAGATGCACCCTGAATATACCAACTAGAGTTAATCTACACTGGCACAATGCAGTGGATTGATTGTGCCAACTATTTAGTGTTGCAGCTCCCATTAAATTCTTAGTTTGATGTTGTTTCAAGCTTTTCCAGGACATGAGGTAGTTTAAGAAGTTACAATAAAGGCATATATGCTCCATCAAGGGAAATGAAAAATCTATCCCCAAAAGAGGGAATGAGTCCTGAAGATATAGGATTGAAGAGAGCCCTATCTTGAGCCATGGACAAGGAGATCAAGCTGGTA